ATCAACCACGCAGAAGCGTCTTTAGATTTCAGCTGTCGCCCATCACGGATCAGGAGATTCAAGAAGAAATGAACTATTTAAAGAATTACAAGTGCACTAGACATGATGACGTTATCGATTGTTATATTTTCAATCTGAAGAAACTTATTTTACAAAATATTTTATTGAGAAGTATTTCCGGATTCCTTGACGCAGTCAAACACAGTTCCTACATATAAGAAAGTCAAAATACAAAATCCAGATATTTACAGAGGAAATCCTTGCCTGTGGAAAATATAAATTATGCCTGAATATTAAATACCAGACTTTCTCACTATGCAAATGAGTTAAAGTCACAGAAACACATGCCTTTAGCCGGGATATTCTGCTATGGATCATGTTTTCATGTCAAATACACTTGTACATAAATATTCATCACAGAGGGGAAGGCTACCTCTCACTTATTACGGCGAATGTGTTTTACCTTTAGAAAGGTATTCGACTCTACCATGACTCTGTTATGTTTTCTTTAAGCTGGACATTGTTTACATCCATGAAAGCCAGCTTTAAATGGCTGATTAGTACGAGTAACATGCAGTCATGCTAGGTGTACTGGATATTTTCGCTCCTATATTGGTCGAAATCCAGGCACTGTATGGCCCCTAGAGTTCTCTTCTCTTATCAATGAATTGGGGCGGTATATAGCCTAATGGTGTAGGCGTCAACTGAAGACCCGGGTTCGATTCCTCACATGGGTACAACGTGTGAAGCCCATTTCTGGTGCACACACAACCACCATCCAACACCACCACCGCCACCAACACCATCCAACACCACCACCACCCCACACCACCATCAAACACCATCACCACCACCATCATCCACCATCACCACCACCACCATCCACCACCACCAACACCATCCAACACCACCAACACCACCACCACCATCCAACACCATCACAACCACCATCCAACACCACCACCGCCACCACCACCATCCAACACCACCACAACCACCATCCAACACCATCAAACACCACCACCGCCACCACCACCATCAAACACCACCACCACCACCATCATCCACGACCACCACCACCACCATCCACCACCACCAACACCATCCAACACCACCAACACCACCACCACCATCCAACACCATCACAACCACCATTCAACACCACCAACACCCCACACCACCATCAAACACCACCACCGCCACCACCACCATCCAACACCACCACAACCACCATACACCACCATCAAACACCACCACAACCACCACCACCATCAAACACCACCACCACCACCATCATCCACGACCACCACCACCATCACCACCACCAACACCATCCAACACCACCAACACCACCACCACCATCCAACACCATCACAACCACCATTCAACACCACCAACACCCCACACCACCATCAAACACCACCACCGCCACCACCACAATCCAACACCACCACAACCACCATCCAACACCATCAAACACCACCACCGCCACCACCACCATCCAACACCACCACCACCACCCCACACCACCATCAAACACCACCACCGCCACCACCACCATCCAACACCAACACCAACACCATCCAACACCACCACAACCACCATCCAACACCACCACCACCACCACCACCACCCCACACCACCATCAAACACCAACACCACCACCACCATCCAACACCACCACAACCACCATACACCACCACCACCACCCACACACCATTAAAACACCACCACCGCCACCACCACCATCCAACACCAACACCAACACCATCCAACACCACCACAACCACCATCCAACACCACCACCACCACCCCACACCACCATCAAACACCAACACCACCACCACCATCAAACACCACCACAACCACCATACACCACCACCACCACCCCACACCACCATCCAACACCACCACCACCACACCATCCACCACCACCAACACCATCCAACACCACCAACACCACCAAACCCATCCAACACCATCACAACCACCATACACCACCACCATCATCCAACACCACCAACCCACATCACCACCAATACACCACACCACCATCCAACACCACCACCACCACCAACACCACCACCACCACCCACACCACCACCACCACCACCCACACCACCACCATCATCCAACACCACCACCACCACCACCATCCAACACACCCACCACCCACCCACCATCCCACACCACCACCACCACCCCACCACCACCATCCAACACCTCCACCCACACCACCATCCACCACCACCACCCCACACCACCACCATCCAACACCTCCACCCACACCACCATCCCACACCACCACCACCACCCCGCACCACCACCATCCAACACCTCCACCCCACACCACCATCCACACCACCACCACCCCACACCACCACCATCCAACACCTCCACCCCACACCACCATCCCACACCACCACCACCACCACCATCCAACACCTCCACCCCACACCCCACCCTCCAAACCAGCGTTACTGCGCAATGTTAGGATTCCTAAGAATGCCTATGACATTCTTGTGTACTATGATAATTGTGGATACCAAACCCATGCAGATAGTGTACTCTATTGTTTTAATATGGATTAGGATTTGTATGGATTTCTCAATGGGTTGGAGGCACATATGCTCTTCTTGAAATAAACATACAGGATGCAACATATGTTATATTTGGGATTTGGGGTGGAAGCCGCGGTGGTTGAGCGGTTTGAGCGTCTGACTTTGTGTGCTGGCGATTAGGTGCCTGACTCTGAGGGTGTGGGTTCGAATCCCGGATGGGAATCAATCCAACGAAAGTTCTAGAATCTGTACTTTACAAAGAAAGTGTAATCCCAAATGTCACATATGTTACATTTGACCACTTTCTAAATGGCATTGTGTATTTCATAAACAGGATGCAGCTGATATATATCCAGTGTTTTAGAAGATAGTTCAATATATAATGTATACAGTGAGTTTAATCCCTTACTCGAACCAGAAGTATCTGACTCCATTAACAGGCAGAAAACAACGCAATAGTTGATAGGACTGAGGGCAGGGCTGTAAAGATTAACGTTTCTGACGGGAGATATTAAGGCGTTGAAGTAAGTCCTGTAATCTGAGAGATGAGGAGGGGGATAGCGTTAAACAGTCTGTAGCATGAAATATGATGTTTCTTATCATCCAAATATGTTTTGTAACGATGTAAGGTAATCAAGGAACTGATGTACACACCTGTGTCCAAGGTATCAAATGAGAAATGGCTTTTCAAATGCTGGAATAATACGACGTGCATGTTATGTAGTCGTATCAATGTGGTATGCACTGTCTTGGCCTTCGACCGTGAAATGAATAGAGGCTTGACACGGATACATATCAAAAGGATATGCAGTTATTGTTGCTTTTTGGTCTTGCTTTTCATCAGTTTTATCATTTTTAATCAAGTAAATTGATACCCGCCGTTTGTACGAGCTGCCATCGTCTAAGGAAATGGCTATTTTATTCATCACGATGTTCATCGTGGCCAATATGCACTTGAAGGTGTCCGGTATATCCAGCAGATAGAGACTACACAACTGTCAAGGCTCGTAGACTGCCGTGTCTCTCTCGTATTGTAATCACCACATGATTAATGACTAGACTGGGGCAGCACCTGTGTATGGATGCACACACTACAGCCTCGGATATCCGAACTTCCAGCCACAATATCACATTATAGTAGATATTTCCCTCATTGGCGAGACGTATGACGGCTATGATATTAATTAAAGGAATCATATATTTACCAAGATTATTTTATTGAATATATTTCTGTGCTGAATGTAGACAGTTATAGGTGAAGAGTACTCGATCAAATATCTTGCAGTACTTCTGGGTTTAGTTCTAAAGACTGACACATCACTTCTCACTATCTTGTTGAACACGAGCCTGTGTTGTGTTACCACAGACTACTTACTGTTCTAATATCAATGTTTGGCTGGACCTAAGGATACTCATATGTAATATTAATTTAGTCAAGGTGTTCGAAAATCCCAGACGATCAAAATACCTATTTCCCACAGAGGGGAACATAAGACTAGAATCCCCTCAAAACGAATAGCGAGATAATCAATACTTGAAATCATCGATATTTTTATATATTCAGTCGATATATATGTTGTGATGTAGTAAGGCCTCGTGTTACTTTGAGTCTGTCATCTTTTGTAAAGGCTCGATGATTACCTCTAATATTTGATCATTGTTAAATTCCATAATCATGGACATTATTGTGAGGACGAAAATTGGCAGCTTGGTGTCGTATTCCACGTGTGAAGGCTGCACTACAAACATCGATACTGGGTCACTCGGCACTGCTAATGTCGAGGATGAAACTAATCATGATACATTCAGTAATTAGATTGACGGAACTGTCTGGTGGTATAGCTGTGTTACCCAGCTGACATTTCAACATACTATCGTGTGTGGGACAGGTTTTTATTGTCAAAGAAATATAAGTAACTCCATCAGTTATGATTGAAAACTAGTGTCATTGTACTCTTGTGAAGACTGATTGTCGTTCACCTGTGACTTACAGAACTTATATGTGGTTGTGTGGAAAATAGTACGAGGAAAGGTGACATTTATCAGTTGATGGTGAAGCTGAGTAAATGATATCTTCTTAACACGTATTGATATGTCTACAGGGACTATTAACAATACGTTACACACACACACACACACTACCCACAACGCACGCACACCCTCTCCACCTCACTACACACCAATCACTCCCACAGTTGCTCTCCCTTAACTCACTCACTCACTCGAGTTGCAGAGTGGAAACGATTTTCTGCTTACATTATGTATTAAAATGATTCAAATGATATTTTCATACTCAAAAGCAAAAACAATCGTGAATCAGAGAAAGGATTTTGAAACATATTTCCTATTATTTCAAATTATTACGTTTTTTACACAGTAGTTATCTGCAATGCGAGCCATTACTTCCTGTATATTATTACACCATGTCCGTCTACTTACGTGCAGTCTATTTTCCTGGACTGTGCGACACATGACACAGCAACTAGGACCAAGCCAAGGACAAGCAGCACTCTCTCATAGGACGCCCCGTGACACATCATGGCTGTAAAATAACAGAAGAAGCCTTATAGTCGCCGGATCAATGGTGAGAGTACTGTACCGTCCTTGTGGCGCATGAATGGTTACTTTACTACCATTCAATAGCACCGATAGCCACATAGATTTGCATAGATCACATAAACGCTGTCCCTTAAGGCTCACTAATGTGTCAGTCACATGAAACACGTTATGGCGGCAGCAAACTTTCCGGAAACACTTGACCAACCGCTGTACTGTCTGACCTCGGTCCCCGGGGGTTAGCTAATGACAGACGAGGTAACATACATGCGGATTGTTAAGGTACCAGTAGACTGATGGAGGGGAGGAGGATTTTGGGGTGGGACAGCTGCTTTGAACAGCGTTCTATGGCGATTCCTCATGGCAAGGTTGGACTCCAAACATAAGCTGAACTAAACGCTGCTTTCAGCAATATTCGAGGCTTTTTACGGTGAGAGCACCACCAGCTGGTTCATGAATGGTGCAACAGTGGGGCTTCGAACACGACTGTCAGGTTTGAAGTGACGCCTATTTACCCACTAGTTATCATTAGGACGCCAATTCACCCACTAGTTATCATTAGGACGCCAATTCACTCACTAGTTATCATTAGGACGCCAATTCACCCACTAGTTATCATTAGGACGCCTATTTACCAACAAGTTATCATTAGGACGCCTATTTACCCACTAGTTATCATTAGGACGCCAGTTAACCACTAGTTATCATTCTGACCATGAAAGTTTTCCATGTCATCAGTGCAGCAGGAAGTGGAAGACAGCCAACGTAGAGCCCACAGAGCCTTGGTTGATAGTGACGGCCACATGGAGCAGTAGACGTGTATAGATACAGGGTATTGACATATTCCCATCAGCTCTCTTGGTACAAATCATTTACGTGTGGAGGAGGAATACAGAATATCCCGGAAGTTACCGGTGCTGCTACATGCGTGGCATGTTTCACAACGTCAGAATCAACAGTTTAGTAACAATACATCTTTAAACAGTCACCTACTATGGGTATTCTGTATTCTGTATTGAGAAAGTCAACAGACACAATACACTCATGCATTGGTATAAGTGCGGGTGTTACATTGACATATTTATATATCCAATCAGTTCAGCACCATTGGGGCTATCACTGGGATATGCCTGTGGGTCTGTTTCAATGGCATCCGTTTTCTTGAAGAACTGCCAAACCAGAACCATGTGCATTGTGTATCGTAGTAATCGGTATTGTCGGCTTTTAGTCATTTTACTGAGACAATTGTTTAACGCCATCTTTACCACTGCTTCAGCTGTATGGCGGAGATGGTTTCAGAGGCGGTGGATGATTCTTACCCCTCGCTGCTCACCCCTCGTTTCTCGCCCCCTCGCTCCTCATTCAACCCCTCACCCCATCGCTCCTCGCCCCCTCTCTACCGACCCCCATGCCCCCAACTCCTCGCCTCTCGCCTCTCCCTGTTTATCCATCTCACTATTCCCTCGCCAGGGTTTAGTCCCCGTCACAATGTCCCCACGGCCCTCTTCTCTTCCCACTCCACCAAATAGAACACAATTGCAAAGGCGACCCACACAAACGCTACTCAGTCACGGCACAGCGGTGGTTCACTGACTGACATCACTCCCAATGTTACCACACACATGTGAGTGCTGTGCCTGTCCAGATGTCTAGTGTCCCTGTAAAGACCAGACCCGTGCCTGTGGGAGGAACGTTATACCTACTGACTGAATACTGATCTACTAGCGGTAGATCATCATAGGGAAAATATATGGAACTCAAGCACCTCTAGGCGTTACTTTCCTGTTTTTCATAGATATCAGTTACACCCCTGCTGTGGTTGTCTTATATGACGTAGGCTCTCAGCACCATGTCCTACTCGCCAGAATTCAAGTTTCGTTGTGTGTGCGTGCGTGCGTGCGTGCGTGCGTGCGTGCGTGCGTGCGTGCGTGCGTGCGTGCGTGCGTGTGTGTGTGTGTGTGTGTGTGTGTGTGTGTGTGTGTGTGTGTGTGTGTGTGTGTGTGTGTGCGTGCGTGCGTCGGTGCGTGCCTGCTTATAACCTGGACAGTCTAGTTCTGGAGGATGTGAGCAGCATTTCCCAGCACGCCTAAGTACGAAACTTTGCACATAGAATTGCAGGGCATAGTAGCAATACGTCAGTTGTAACCCCTAGATATCCGAGTGTATGCAGACAATTCTGAGTGTAACTATCTCCTACGTTGATTCAGCTATGACACAGCTGTCCGACCTGACCGAGCTGACCACCCCGAAAACCTCCATATCCGTGTCCAGTGCACCAGGGTCTCAGATGGAGCCGTCAGTTCATTAATAAATTGCACTGATCTGCCAAGCAGTGAATACTTCATTCAACAGTTAGAACGAAAGAGATAATCTTACGTTGGATTAGGCTTGTAGAATTAGGCGTTACAATGACCGATTCCTCTCTGTGGGCGATGCACGGCGACTGAACAGGATAGAGCTACTCGTGAAATGACTGTCACAGAATAGCATCGGTTTTACATGCCACCACCACCACAGAACCTAGGCGGCGATAAGTCCATATTCTCATTCCAGATAGGATAAAGAACGCTTATATGTGCTTCTGTGTGGCCAGTATGTGCATGTGCGTATGTGCATATGAGCGTATGTGTATGTGTGTGTGTGTGCGTGCGTGCGTGCGTGCGTGTGTTTGTGTGTGCGCGCTTGCAGCAATATTTAATCCTTATTACAGTTAATAATCAAGCCTGGACCATACAATCCAGTGAGGAAACGTTATTGATCCCCAAGTAACTATCCACGCCTCCCGCGACCGGTACTGTGGATCTCGGTATCCACGTGTTCGTCAACTGATCATATCACTGCACAACATCTTAACGACATTCACTGAACAGTATGTGCGGTTTTCGTTCAAAAATGTGTCCAATATGTGTATGGTACTTGATCTTCAGGTTGTGAATCGCAAATTGTTCGTTGGACATGATGAAAATCCTGGAAATATTCGTGTTGGTTGAAACATTTGTTCGGCGTCTACTTTCGATTACAAACAAATATATACTACCCATCAAAAGTTTAGACTCACTTAAAACACTCACTGTATGTTATGTATGTATATATATAGGGTTACGTCGAAGATGAATGTGTCCACCTACTTGGGGGAACCAACTGCAAACCTTATGCAGATGCATTGCACGAGGATCATGTATCAAATTGCTGAATAGCATGTGCAAATATCGTGTATGTGAACAGCTGCGTTTTGGTATGAAATTTTGTTAAGAATTCACCACTTTTCACTGAGTTTCAACATTTATTGAACTTATTGAATTTATTAATCTTTTCAACGTTACGAATCTGTTTTAAGATACATCAGTTCATGTGTAAACAGTACCTTTAAACTGTAAAGAATATTTTGCTTAATCTACTTTAGATCAGTTGACTGAAGTAAGTGGCTACATTTACACTAGTGAGTCTTGATGGGGAGTGTAGCAGTCAGTGGATATTATCCTGGGTGTATCAGTCTTTGGATATTATCCTGGGTGTATCAGTCAGTGGATATTATCCTGGGTGTATCCGTCAGGGGATATTATCCTGGGTGTATCAGTCCGGGGATATTATCCTGGGTGTATCAGTGGAAATTATCCTGGGTGTATGAGTCGGTGGATATTATCCTGGGTGTATCAGTCAGTGGATATTATCCTGGGTGTATCAGTCAGTGGATATTATCCTGGGTGTATCAGTCAGTGGATATTATCTTGGGTGTATCAGTCAGTGGATATTATCCTAGATGCATCAGTCAGGGGATATTATCCTGGGTGTATCAGTCAGTGGATATTATCCTGGGTGTATCAGTCAGATATTATCCTGGGTGTATCAGTCAGTGGATATTATCCTGGGTGTATCAGTCAGTGGATATTATCCTGGGTGTATCAGTGGATATTATCCTGGGTGTATCAGTCAGTGGATATTATCCTGGGTGTATCAGTCAGGGATATTATCCTGGGTGTATCAGTCAGGATATTATCCTGGATATTATCCTGGGTGTATCAGTCAGTGGATATTATCCTGGGTGTATCAGTCAGGATATTATCCTGGGTGTATCAGTCAGTGGATATTATCCTGGGTGTATCAGTCAGGGGATATTATCCTGGGTGTATCAGTCAGTGGATATTATCCTGGGTGTATCAGTCAGTGGATATTATCCTGGGTGTATGAGTCAGGGATATTATCCTGGGTGTATGAGTCAGTGGATATTATCCTGGGTGTATGAGTCAGTGGATATTATCCTGGGTGTATCAGTCAGTGGATATTATCCTGGGTGTATCAGTCAGGGATATTATCCTGGGTGTATCAGTCAGTGGATATTATCCTGGGTGCATCAGTCAGGGGATATTATCCTGGGTGTATCAGTCAGTGGATATTATCCTGGGTGTATCAGTCAGTGGATATTATCCTGGGTGTATCAGTCAGTGGATATTATCCTGGGTGTATCGAGTCAGTGGATATTATCAGTGTATCAGTCAGGATATTATCCTGGGTATTATCCTGGGTGTATCAGTCAGGGATATTATCCTGGGTGTATCAGTCAGTGGATATTATCCTGGGTGTATCAGTGGGGATATTATCCTGGGTGTATGAGTCAGTGGATATTATCCTGGGTGTATCAGTCAGTGGATATTATCCTGGGTGTATGAGTCAGTCCAGAATATTATCCTGGTGTATCAGTCAGTGGATATTATCCTGGGTGTATATTATCCTGGGTGTATCAGTCAGTGGATATTATCCTGGGTGTATCAGTCAGTGGATATTATCCTGGGTGTATCCGTGGATATTATCCTGGGTGTATCAGTCAGTGGATATTATCCTGGGTGTATCAGTCAGTGGATATTATCCTGGGTGTATCAGTCAGTGGATATTATCCTGGGTGTATCAGTCAGAGTCAGTGGATATTATCCTGGGTGCATCAATCGTGATATTATCCTGGGTGTATCAGTCAGGGGATATTATCCTGGG